ATAAACAAAGAAAATAACTCTTCAAGTTATTTTTCTTTGGATAAAGTATGACATAAGCGAAGTCATTGTGTAGTTCAAGGGCTGCCTAAAACCAATCTCAACTGTCTAAAGGGCACCCTCCGCAGCATTCCGTACGACGATGTAAATATGTGGACTATGTTAAGAAATCCTTGATTAGAAGGCGTTGAGATGTTTATTTAGGCTTCGTGAGAGAGTTGTGTTTGTTATGAGAACACACTTTTCTTCCACAGCTTCATGCATGGCCCGCCAGTACTGAAGGAAATGCAGGAAGTTTTGGAAATAAATAAAAAATGAAAAGCAAACTTGAAAGAGGAGGTGAAACATGAGCGCTTGTTGGACGCGTTCACGCGAATGACATCATATCAGTGAATATACCTTCTCTCTCCCACCACTTGTCCACATAACTTCTGAAAGAAGTAAAAGTCATGACGCAGAACCATACTACACCCACTAAAGTACATCCTAAAAGAGTATAGTGCTGGCACAGGTAGAATTAACCAATATTAGCCCCTAGAGCACCAAATTAGGTTATTTTCGTATTGTGGGGCACCACGCAGATCTGTTTCCCATGGTCAGTGACAGCCGCCCAATCCCAAGTTGCGGAACTCATGTGTCTATATAAGAATTTAAACCTTTTTGTCTTCATTATGAGCCTGATTATGCCCACTACAGGACAAAGGCCTCTCCAATGTTCCGCCAGTTAACCCGGTCCTGTGCTTGCTTCTGCAAATTTATACCCGCAAACTTCTTAATCTCATCGGCCCACCTAACCTTCTCCCTTAACGACCAGCGGTTATCCTGTCTGCGCGCTACATGCCCGGCCAATGTCCATTTCTTCTTCTTAATTTCAGCTATGATATCCTTAACCCCCGTTTGTTCCCTAATCCACTCAGCTCTCTTCTTGTCTCTTAAGGTTACACCTACCACTTTTCTTTCCATTGCTCGCTGCGTCGTCCTCAATTTAAGCTGAATCCTCCTTGTAAGTCTCCAGGTTTCTGCTCCGTAGCTAAGTACCGGCAAGATACAGCTGCTATATACCTTCCTCTTGAGGGATAGTGGCAATCTACCTGTCATAATTTGAGAGTGCTTGCCAAATTTGCTCCACCCCATTCTTATTCTTCTAGTTACTTCAATCTCGCGGTTCAGCTCCGCGGTTATTACCTGCCCTAAGTAGACATAGACGTTTACAACTTGAAGTGCACTATTACCTATCTCGAAGCGCTGCTCTTTTCCGACGTTGTTGTACATTACTTTCGTTTTCTGCAGATTCATTTTAAGGCCCACCTTTCTGCTCTCCTTGTCTAACTCCGTAATCATTAGTTGCAATTCGTCCCCTGAGTTACTCAGCCATGCAATGTTATCGGCGAAGCAGAGGTTATTAAGGTACTCTCCATTAACTTTTATCCCTAACTGTTCCCAATCTCGGCTTCCGAAAACCTCTTGTAAGCACGCGGTAAATAGCATTGGGGAGATTGTGTCCCCCTGTCTTACACCCTTCTTGATTGGTATTCTGTTGCTTTCTTTATGAAGCACTATGGTAGCGGTTGATCCCCTGTAGATTTCTTGCAGGATGTTTAAATATACTTCATCGACGCCCTGATTCTGCAGTGTCTGCATGACGGCTGATATTTCTACTGAATCAAACGCCTTCTCGTAATCGATGAAGGCTATGTATAGTGGTTGGTTATATTCTGGGCATTTCTCTATTACTTGATTGATAGTATGAATGTGGTCGATTGTTGAGTAGCCTGTTCGAAATCCTGCTTGTTTCGTTGGTTATTGAATTCTATTGTTTTCTTTACTCTGTTAGCAATTACCTTTGTAAATAGCTTGTATACTACAGAGAGCAAGCTAATCGGCCTGTAATTCTTCATGTTCTTGTCATCTCCTTTCTTATGTATTAAGATGATGTTCGCGTTCTTCCAAGACTCTGGTACTCTTCCCGTCAGGAAACACCTCGTAAACAGAGTGGTTAGTTTTTCTAACACAATTTGTCCTCCATCTTTCATCAGATCTGATGTTACCTGATCCTCACCAGCAGCTTTGCCTCTTTGCGTGCTGTCTAAAGCTTTTCTGACTTCTTCTATCAATACTGGTGGGGTGTCATCTGGGTTACTGCTAGTTCTTATAGTATTAAAGTCGTGGTTGTCCCGGCTACTGTACAGATCTCTGTAAAACTCCTCCGCTATTTTAACTATCCTATCCAAATTGGTAGTTATTTTGCCTTCTTTGTCCCTTAGTGCATACATCCAATTTTTGCCTATCCCAAGTTTCCTCTTCACTGCTTTGACGCTTCCTCCGTTTTTCAGAGCGTGTTCGATTCCCTCCTTGGTATACCTTCTTACATCGCATACCTTACGTCTATTAATGAACTTCGAAAGCCCCGCTAAATCGATTTTGTCTGCTGTACTTGAGACTTTCATAATTTGACGCTTCTTAATAGATTCTTCGTTTCTTTGGTAAGCTTGCCAGTGTCCTGTCCTACTACCCTGCCTCCAACTTCCACTGCATACTCCATAATGATACTCGTCAGATTATCATTCAGTGTATCTATGCTAAGGTTGGTTTCCTAACTAAGAACCGAGTACCTGTTCTGAAGCGAGACTCTATATTCCTGTACTTTCCCTCTCAGTGCTAGCTCATTGATTGGCTTCTTGCGTATCAGTTTCTGTCGTTCCTTTCTCAAGTCTAGGCGAATTCGAGAGCGTACCATTCTATGGTCACTGCATCGTACCTTGCCAGCCACTTCCACATCCTGCACGATGCCTGGGTGTGCACTCAATATAAAGTCTAATTCGTTCTTTTTTCTTATAATACGTTAAATCTATGCTCAGGGCGCTCACTCCTAAGGCATGCTGTCATGCGTGCTGCTGACGAACGCGCGCAATCGAGAACAAGCTGCGCTCTGAGGGCGTTTGCATGCACACTTCCGAGCAAGTAGGCATGCGACTAAGGATATGTAGTGAAGAAGACGACAGTACTAATCCAAAGATCTTGTGTGAGTGCATAGACCAGAGACGCAAAACACGCCCTGCGCGTCTTCATGCCCTGTGCGCCAGGGCATGAAGCAAAATACACAACATTTATATACACAGCCAAAAGCAAAATACACATCATTGAAGCGAGCTGACGCAATGTACTGGGTGGGGCGCTACGAATGGCACTGGCGCCTTCATCTGAATGAAAAGAGTAGATGGGGCATGCGTCAGATAAATAGATCGCTATATCTCCAGCATTACTTTACCTTTTCGAAAAGTTATTACGGCTACAATTTCCTGGCAGACATCAGATTTATTTCAAGGTGTTTAAAAATTAATACGTACACGCAATGTTTTTCAGAGGCCACAAAATATTGCTTTGCTTCGATCAGGTTTTCTCAGTGTTGCATGCAGTATACAGCCGGCCCCAACAGTCACACAATGTGGTCTGTCACGCTTATAATGCGGTGATCAAATGTGGAGAGACCACTGAGATATGGCGATACATTGGTTGGCCATGCAGGCCTTCTAAGGTTTCACATCACGGTTTTAAAAGTTATCCAGCGACCTCGGCAATTAAATCTTAGATGTTGCCTAAAGAAGGTCATGAAAAATAACTCGAGATGTCCGTCTTACAGCCGTACCCATTAAAATGACAAGAATAGTTAATTTTTCTGTGGGACAAATATATATGAATGGCAATACTGTGGTAAGTTTACTAACAAAAGCTGTTTGGGGTGGCCAAAAGTGTAAATCTGTCTGAAGTGGGAATGGTTTTAAATATTTAGAACAGTCGTTAACGAGGTGTTCTTTGTATTGGCTAGATACTAAACGTAAGAAACTGCAATATCCAACTCAAAATAACTAAAGGGAGACTGACCAAATGCAACGACTTGCAGCCGAACTTTGAAGTTAGTCGCATAAAGAATGCAACTTAGTGTACCCGTGAATGGCGCATTGTTGCGGTGACAAAATTTGATTATCTCTATTCTCAACCACGGCGTTCTTTTTTTCATCAATCAAGGGAACTTCTTTTTTTAGGAAAATAATAATAATACAAAGAATATTTGGACCGACAGCCTTACGGGCTCGTAGCTGTTCCATTAGAATGCTCACAAAGATTCTACAGGTCAGCTTTGAAGGGAGACACAGAAACGGTCAAATAAATACAGGTAATACACATATATATATTTTCTTTTGCTAGCATACATACTTGGTAGGTTCCGACTAGCTTGCTTAACGCGGCACTCATTACAAAAAACACATGAAAATAAAACGAAACAGACATACACACAGGCTTACATATCAAACCTGTGTGTACAGAATAATATCTTGTGTGGCGAAAAAAAAATGACTTGCATGCTGGGCCTTTAAAATCTTTCTGAATTTTGCTTGTACATGGAGTAGAATTCAAGTGAGTCCCGGTGACACTTCTTGTTAACCTCTGGCTTTGAGCTTCTGTCTACGAAACCACTTCTGTATTTTGTTATACTGGACCTTTATATCACTTTCTCTTTCTTATTCCAGCCAAGATGCGAGTTAGGCAGGACTCTTAAGATGACTATGGCTGCTCATGGTTTCAGGCATTGCGAAAAATGTCACATAGTGTTCGTCAATTAAGTTTCGTAGGGTAATGCGAAACCACTTCTGTATTTTGTTATACTGGACCTCTATATCACTTCCTCTTATTCCGGCCAAGATGCGAGTAAGGCAGGACTCTTAAGATGACTATGGCTGTTCATGGTTTCAGGCATTGCAAAAAACGTCACATAGTGTTCTTTAAACAAGTTTTGTAGGGTAATACAACTCGTGGAGCTGGTCTCAGTGTTATATGACAGCAAGAAATGTGAAAGGTCTCTAATGTGTGTATTGTATAAAGATGCGTTTGATTTGTTTCAACGTATGCCACATTGTCTGAGCTCTACGTCTAGGTTTCCATGTTTCACATGAATGAATAAGTGTTGATATTTTGTGTAACTTTCACGGAGATCACTTTCGCAGCGACATAACTGCAGGTTTCTTGGCGTAGTGGCTCGCTGTCAGTGAGGCTCCTGAAACTGAGCTGTGGTTTCGCAGCAGCGGCGAAATGCGTTTCAGTGAATTCTTGGTGCTGCAGAGCGGCTACTCGTATATTCACATCGACCCACAGTTGTGGCCCGCCATCACATCCTGGAACTGGATTTGGGCAGTTCTGCAATTTCAACCTAAATGGCCGTACATCAAGGTTAGTGGATATTCTAAGCAGCGTCTCGTAGTTTTATTATAAAACATTTCAAGCGTGGCATACGAGGGACTGCGCATAAATGCGTCAAATTTGTTGAGGAGTTTCGGAAGGCCCTTAATTGCGTAGATTAACAAAATATTTCTAATGCCTCTATTTGCGTTTGTCTTAGTGAAGAACTTTATTTGTGTGTAACTCTATCACTAAATATTCTCAGTGCATTTATCTTTGACTTGAAAAACCAGGTCACTTCTTTTATGGTTCTATTTCTGTTGAGCGAAAAAAAATTGTAATTCACCAGTGACCCGGGAAAGAGGAGCGTTGGACAACTCTTCAAGTATTATGGAGCTTTTATCATAAGCAAGTTATCATAAGCAACAGTACACAGTGCAATGATTCAAGTGCAGATACAATTTCACGCAGATAACTTTTTATTTAACGATGAAGTACGTGCTTTCATTAGACATGGCTCGACTCGAATAAAAAGTGAGGTTCTGCAATTTTGTGTTCTCAATTGTTCGTATGAGGTCACATAAAAGCAGACTACAAACTGCTACTGCCAAATTTAATCATTGAAGTAAACACTGTCTTAAAGCCACTCTTTTTCTGTCTTTTTACATGTAATGATTACGAAGCGAGAGATAACTCCGACAAAGACTTTTGTTTTCATTATTTCTGATGCAGGCCATTACGGACAGTCATCGCGATTTGTGGGCATCTCCCCAAGACCGGAATGGCTGCGCGAGTATTATTCGTCAGAAGTCTTTCTTGAGGCGCATCAAATCTGCAAAGATGGCGTATCTAAGCAGCCAGTGCTTCAGCGAAATTAATCAACCGACGAACGCATCCTTGCTATTCTCCGGGAACCATCTTACTGAATGAGGCAGTAAACATTCTTTCACTACTTTCTTTGGCATGAACACATCTTTTCTGAAAAGCTCAGTGTTGTAAGGATAGTGTGAAGAATAAATTAACCATTTTCGGTGTACCTCCCATACGAATGACTCGCAATTAAAATAAAATTGACACACGTGTCTATAGAAGTAGTTCCAATCTCATGCCTGATATGAAGCTTTCACAGAGCTCATGGTAGTTGGGTTGGCAAGACAGCCTTGCAAATTGATGCATCGAAATTGAGGGTCATGGCTGAGAATTCTGATTAGGCTCTAGAGGGTTGCCGGAAGGCCTGCAAGCCTTAACGGGAGGTGCCTATATGAGTTAGTGCAAAGGTACATTTAATGATCACATGCAGCGAGAGCCAAATATATGAATGGCAATTGCAGACACTGACATAGGGTCATGCAGCTGATTGTTTATCTTCTTGACCCTATTATGCGGAACAGCCCATCAAATGTATGCGTAAAGATGCAAGAAGCTTTCAGTTCCCGGTTCATGCCCTTGCAGTTCCAATTCTAAATGTGGAACGCTGGGCTTTCGTTCTTCGCTTTTGGAACAGTTCATTACTTTTTGTATGCTTACGGATAGTTTTTCATTATCTAAGAATTTGAACAGCGGAGCTGCTTAGGTTCACCGTAATTTCGCAATTCGAGCACCACAAGATGAGTGTGTCCTGACTTTTGGTTTCGTTGGCGTGACATCACTGAAGTGGTTAAGGACATACCTTTTTTTCAAATGGAGCAGAACGAAGATAGAAAAAACGAAACAGTGCAAAAAATGAGACACTAGTCGAAGGAGCACACATACAGAGCGCTGACTTACACATACAGAGCTGCTCATGCTTTGATAACAGAGCGGCAGAAATACAGCCTAATAATCACAAGGTACCGCTTGGATGATAAATTTATGCAGTAGAAGGCATACCTAATTCTGAGTTTATGGCACTAACAATGGCAGGGTTAGAGACGGGGCACGAGTGGATGTAGATGAACTCATTATTGATAAAAAAGTACGGACAGGAGTGTCATTTTATAGTGCTACAGAAGTCACGCGAAATGTAGCGCTGACTTTCTTTATTCCATTAATACCAGCACATCAAAAAGGTGTTTATACCACATTTTAGGTTATGTTAACCAATGGTACATCACGAAGTATTGAATTTTATTTCTGGTGTTTTATCTGAAGTGATAACTAGATCAAGTTATAGAGAATTCCTGTCTATTGAAGTTGGCTCGTCGACGCACAATTCATGCATGCGAGCCATCCTGGTGGAATTCACTTGCTTCAAGAAAGAACGTTCACGAATGACTTTTTTCCAGATCTTTGTGGTCGCACGCTGAAGTACGCTGCGTGCGATGGTTCTCCTTCACCGCCTGCACATACGACACACATAGCGAAGAACATGCATTCATGATTACTCGTTGCCCGTGCTTTCTGCAATAATACCACCGTTTTCGTTTCGGTCATAGTTGTTACATTGTGCAATAAGTAAATATAACCCACTGAAAAGTACCTCAACTGCCTTCCTGTAGGCTGAGGTGCTGTGTGCAATCTGCCACCAAATCCTCCATTAAGTTTCGCAGTTTTTTTCGAGAGCAGCATACTGAACAGAATTTGCTGCGGAGACTGCTCGCCTTTATAGAAACACCAGGTTCTGCAAGTGCATACATTATACTTGCGGAGCAAGAACACGACGTGGTGTGTCGTCCTTCCGTCATCTCAAGTGGTGGGACTGTAAGACGCTCAACATATGCGACAACAAGACTAGCAGTGCTCAAACCCCGCGCTAAACATAACAAACAAGGTCTAAAACATTATGGTGGGCCTCTTGTGCCTAAGGCTTCATGTTACACAAGGTAGGTGGATCCAATTCAATATTGAAGCGATGTATTAAAGAAGTAATCACATTAACCTAAAATCGCTGCAACGATCCGCCAACATGATGATCACTTTCTAGTGCACATGTGATGAGAGAGGGGCCACCACCACATCACCTAGCAAGCGAATGCACTTCCCTTTGCGAAGCTCGTGCTTGAACGCTGCGTGGCTACATCACTAGATGTGATGGCGGAAACAACCAGAAGAAATTCGCAGCAGACAAAGTGCATCGCAACTGCCCTAACAAGAAGAAAAGCAATAAATCAAACCAAAAAGTTGAGTACATCTCGCACACCAATTATGCGAGTCTACTCGCAAGATTTCACTTGCTAGGCCGATTACTGGCTAGGACTCTTAAAGAAAGAAAGAATGCGAAATCAAGATTGAGAAAAAGGCCCAGCTGTGTGGATGTGTCGTGGTCTACAGAATAGCACTCTCGTGTGGTAGAGTATGTGTCAGACATCCGACATGCTTCGTTAACAATAGGCTGAAGAAGCGCAACGCTTTTTTGAAGAACGTGGCCAATTCTAATCTAACTGTGCACTCTAAATCATGTACATACAGTCATGTTTTCACAAACACCAGATAATATGCCGGTGAGGTCATGAAGGATGTACATAGAAGTGGTAAAAGCCACTCAAATTGTTTAAAAAAGAAAACTGTGTAAGCCGAGATTTAGTAAATTTGTATGATAAAGTGTTTGATTTTCAGGGGCAGACGTTTTCAATTATTTTATCCTTACAACTTAGACAAGATGCTGAGGCAGTCCTTGGCACGTTAACTTGCAGGTTGCTTATATGAATGTTTACGTTAAATAAATCGTTCATTTGCGAGTCAGCACTTTTTTAGCGTCGTTTCTTCACCTATGTCTCAGCTCAATTGTTATGCGCTGCTAAATTGGGATAGGAAGTTCATTCTTTTGGTTAAACTTTTCATTTGGACAGAAAAAAACACCGAATCTACTGCTACACTTCCAAGCAGTTCAATGCTTCTCGTAAAATTATAGGTCCCAAAATAAGGGACTTGTAAAATACTCTTAGCTCTCTTGACCAATGAAAAAAAAAGCGATTGCTGCGTCGAGATGATTTAGCGTAATGCGACGAAGTATGTCCTCCTTCATAAGAGCGGTACCGCTGCCACGCTATCTGTGACTGTACGACATGTCACTTGTAAGTCTGCTTTAGTTTTCATCACCTCGACGTTGCCTATTGTTTTGCCTATTGAAGGCTGAACAGAAAACTCCACTGTAACAGTAATAACTTTGCACCCACCTTGATATGTGGCCAGTTGAGTTGAAATTGCACGATCGCCCGGACCCAGTGCCAGATTGAGACTGCGGGCCAAAGTTCTGCTTCCCGGTGCATGTACGCGTACCCACTCTGGAGCACAAGAAATTCACTGAAGCGCCTTTCGCCACTGCTACGGAACCACAGCTCTGTTTCGGAAGCCTCATTGAGTGCCAGCCATTCAGTGACCAGACATGGGCAGATGTCACTGCACATGTGTTGCAAATACATTTAGGTGCTTATAATCCGCATATGAACATCTTTATTCCAAAAACTATCTTCGATGAAATACCAGAGTTCTGTTATTGAGTCACGATCGAATACCTCAGTTCGGAAGCCAAATCATCGACTCAACTCGCCACATGGGTGGTTCACATGAATTAGCATGCCTATGTTAAGTATATAAACATATTATTTCATACACCGTTATTGACCGAATACCTCTGTTCAGAGGCCAAGCCCCGCGTGAAAAGTTACTTGACGTTAGTTCACTTATAACTTTATTTCATGTCTGCTTCGATGGTAAAGTGGTTGCAGTGCTCAGCTGCGGACGCGAAGATGGCGGTATCAGCCTCTGGCCACAGGGATCAGACTTTGGCGGACGTGTGGAAGTGAGCGCAGTTGTACTGTGCGATATCGGGGCACCTTGAAGAACACCGGATTGTCTATATCGCAGGAGTCTTCTTTTGTGGTGCTCTTTAAAATTATATTGTGCCTTTGGCAATAAAATTCCTGCTATTATCAATATTTTTACGATAAGAGTGCTATTACTATTGTTATTAGAGTTAAGGCTGGTATAAGATCACCACGTGGGCAGCGTACGGCGCCATAGTAGTCTGCCGCCGCCGGTGTCTGTAGTCCCTATTGAACGAAATAGGAAAAACAAACTTGGTAAGTAAAAAAAACACAAATGACGCAATGGCGTTCAAACCCTGGTCCCCGGCAAACGGGCCCATTGTTTTACCACTGAGGTATGCCAGTTTTTTTCTTGATTGCCTATGCACATGGAACAATGTAAAACAAACATACACCTCGTTGTAAGAATTAAGCTTTCCAACGTCTACATGCAAGCCACATTGGGGAGGTACGTAGCTTCGTAGGACTCGGACGAATCTTAATGTCTCACTGTTGGTGTGATGAAACTATATCGGTAAGGCTAAAAAGAGAAGCTAGAGCAGAAGTTGCAACACCAACATCTAGCTGTGCTGTATTAAAAATAGGAAGATTAGATTTCAAGGCAATTGCACTGAAATCAAAGGCCCATAAATTATATAGACAAATCAAGAAGCCACCACTTCATTGCTCATTGCTGCCAACGTGTCTTTTTTTTTCTTGGTATATTTAGTCCATTTATTCTAGTTTACATTAAGACATCAAGTTGCATTGTTTTGCTCTTTTTTACTCTTCAATAACTTTGTCTATTGAGTACTGTTGTGTACAAAGCTAGGTTTAATAAGTTTTAAGAATTACAAGCCATGTACGCGTATAAACTTTATTTTGTTTTACGTTGTCACAGTCCTGTCAGAAGGGCCTTCAGGCACTCTCAAGCTGTTTGCAGCAGCCTTTTGCTTAAAGCACCCTCTCCGAATGGTCATAAAATAATGGAACTAAAAATTTGAATTAATATTTGTACGCGAATCTAGGAAAGGAAGAATGCACGCTGAGAAATGGAAAATGTATTGTTCACTGACAAGAATTTAAAAGATGATATTTGCTTTCGTAAACTACAAACTATAGAGAAATTAAATTTATAACATCACTGAAATCAAGCAAAGGCATTTTTTACCTGCCCCCACATTGTGAGTCGGAGAGAGAAATAAGTAGCCATCATTTTGACTGCCAATAGTTAACATACCATAACTTTATCTTCCTTAAAGACCCCCCAGGAGGTATTACATAAAGAATTGGTTAACATATAAAAACTTTTATTACCACAACTATTTATCTTAATTAGACACAAGCAAAACTAAACTCACTTCATTTCATTGACAAATAAGATCATCCGCCTTAACTTTACACATACTATACGAAACACAACTATCGACAAAAGCGACCAAGTAAAATACTTAGGCGTTACTTTCTCATCGAATCTCAACTGGGAACCACATGTTTTAGCCATATGTCGTAAATCGGAGAAGAAGCTATTCTTCATGAGGAGGAAATCGCGCTCTGCACCATCACACCTTAACCGAATGCATACAAAGCACAAATTATACCATGTTTAGTGTACGCCGATCTCATCTGGAGTCCACATCAAAAGCACCTCATTAATAAAATATAAAGAATACAAAAATCGGCATTCAGATTTGTATATTCAGACTTCTCGAGGCAATACAGTTCTGCAGGCTTGCTCGCAAGGGCAAACTTAAAACCTCTTTTGCAACGCAGAATTATCTCGCGACTAAAATTTTTTTACCAATTATATCATGGTCTATTCCGCGTATCGCGATCTCGTTACCTGCTTGACCAGCCCCAACACTCATCGCGACTGAAACATTTCAAAACTATCCACCAACCTTTCAGTCGCGCTAACGCTCACAAACATTGCCTTTTTCTGTCAGCTATCCACCATTGGAATAGACTAAACAACAATATTGTATGCTGTAACACTATACAATCATTCATGAACTTAATATAGTGTGTCCATTTTGACTTATGAGCTGTTTGACATTATATCTTCTTTCTTGTTCTTCCGGTGTGTATTTTCTTTCTATGCTTTGTATGTATCTTCTTCTCTCCACTACTGCATTGGCCGTGAAAAGCCTGCAGTGTGTTCAAATTTAAAAAATAATAAATCTTGAAATATGGGCACATAATTGATCAAAAAACGATGTTGGGCATTCAGCGGTGACAAAATCACGAGGAATGTCATTCCAGTATTCTGCTGTCCGTACAAAGCAGGACATAGAAAATATGGTCGTCTTAATTCATGGCTGGGCAACTTGAAGTGAATGATAAGTGCGGTGAAATACGTGGGCCGGTGGAATGATGTACGGATGACAAAGCGTGCTGTGGAAAAACATATGAAAAAGGCTTGTGCGTACACTTACTCTGATTCAATGACATCTGCTTTGACGGCATTGGCGAAATCGCTCACCATATTCTTCAGGTCGAACTTACTGCTGTAAGCTATGCATAATCTCAGCTTCTTTGTTCTGCAAGATATAAAAAAATGTGTTCAGAATTTACGTCATTCAAGATTGAAGTCGAATACCAGATATTTTTATTACACAAGTTGTTCGGTCTTTGCCTCATCATAATTTCATTCAGTTGCCTTATCAATCTGAAGAATAGTCTTGGCAGAACCTACGGTGAAATCTTTCTGTAACCCTCATTCACGCTTAACAAAGACCATCTCGAAAACTGCGCCCGAGGAATCGTCTTTAAAATGCTTAATGTTTTGTTTGTTTGTTTGTTTGTTTGTTTGTAGCCTAAAATCCATGGCTCATACCCACTCGGGGGGATTGGCCAAGAGAACATATAGTCTCATATGGACGATAACTGCACTATTGTTTACAACAAAAAAATAGGGGGGTAGTTGTAGGGTGAAGACAGTATATTTAAAAAAGCCAAAGATTAAGATAGTGAGAAAAAATCAACAAGAAAGTAGACACTAATAGCTATACCTTCATTTTGGGAGTCGACCAGACAGTTGGTTTTGCCAAACTAGAATAATTTGGTGTGTCACGGATTTATCTAGATTTGAAAATTACTTTCCGACCCGTTTTTTCTGAGTACATATTAACGTGGGCTTTATGTTGAAAAACGTTTATAGTCTTGAATAAAATTACACACCGCATCGAATGCATCTTTGTGGCGATTTTCCAAAACAGAGGCATCAAAATTTAGAACATTTTCTGTGGTTAAATATAAACCAAGCTTCGCAAATGAAATATCTAGAAGTCGTTTCGTAATTAATGCATAGTTCCGACATGAGCCAAAATAATGTTCAATAGTTTCTGATTCTTTGCAGAACGGACAAAAGGGGGAAAGTGTCAGACCAGCTATGTGTAAATAAAAACTTAATGGGGGGACGCGGCACCGGCATCTGGAGAATATATTTTCAAGTTTTTTTTGACGAGCTCTATTGGGTTTTCTATGGAAATTTTAGGTACTGATAACCTGTCCATTGTGCGATCTTTTCTAAACTATCTGTAAAAATAGCAAATTTCCTATATCTCACCCCTGATAAGTATTCTAACTCGGGAAGTACTCAAAAACTGCTCGATCAAGTGCTGCTCATGCCAAAGCATCTGCCAATTAATTTATTTGTAATCCGCAGTGACCTGGGACCCACACTAGTTTGAGGAGTTTTAAATGCGGCGGTGCTAATGTGTGGAACGCTGCAAGGGCACGAGATTGTTCGGAGGTTGTCAGAGCTGCACACACCGAAAGTGAGTCTGTTAGGATGATTGCACTGGTCTCGGTCATAGGAATTTTTCGAAGAGCTAAAATAATATCTACTAGCTCGGCTTCAAATATAGGAGTGAAATCTGGAAGCCTTACTGAAAACGACCAGCCGAGGAAATCAGACGCAATTCCTACGTCTGCAATTTCATTGTTGACAGAAGCATGTGTAGCTATTACATTTTTTGTTTCTGCGTGTACCACGTAATCTTTTATTGTAGTGGTCAAAAATCAGAGAGATTGCAACTTGGCTTGTGGGGGGAAGATTTCATCGTACTCTATTCTAATGTTGAGGGTTGAGGAATTAGTTTCAATTACTGTGCTAATGTGTACATTTATGCAATCCAATTTCTTTTTAACAAAAATCACCTGAGGAGTATGAAATTGAGGCCAATGTGCAACAAAGAAAGAGTCAGGATCGCCGATAAATTCGTACTCTGATCTTCGCGCCGGTAAACTGTAGAACTTTAGGAAGGTTTGAACCGTTAGAATGCGGAATCGACAGAGGAGTGTTGGCAATCGCCATTCTTGGTAAATACATTATTTGCCACGAACCTGGGAAGCCCCAGGCATATTCACAGGGCTTCTCGCTTTAACATTACTAGTAGTTTAACTTTATAACCAGCGGCCCCCCAGAATAATGCACACCGAAATTCCAATATTGGTCGCATATACATTTTATATATCATTAACAAAGTGCGTCTGCGCAGCCCGTATTTTCTGTTGCTTAACCTGCGTAATAAACCTAACGCCTGCGTTATGCCTTTGCTGTTATATACTTTATGTGTGGGCTACAATTTAGCTTTTCATTATAATTCATTTCTAAGTACTTGACTGAATGTACTCATGAAATGGGTTTCCGATTATATATAATACAGAAATTGGAACCGTATCTGCTGTAGGAAACACCAAGAGTGCACTTTTACTGATGTCCACTGACAATGAAATTGATTGCAACCCAATTTCTAGAGTAATAATATATCTGCACTTTTTGATGTGGTGAGTAAATGCCGCTTACTGCAGCGAAGAACGTGATATCATCTGCATAAATGTAGACACTGACATCCTGAACAATTGGAATAGAGCTCATCAGTATATTGAACAATGCTGGAGATAGGACGGACCCTTGGAGAACACCACGTTTCTGTTTGAATTTATTCGAACAGCCTTCCTTCATGCAGTACAATTCCCTTGATTTTAAGAATTCTGCTATCCTCTCAGTAATATAATTAGGAAACTTTAGGCTCTGCAAGGTGTTCAGTAGAATAGAGTGCTTCGACACTGTCCTACGCTTTAGCTATGTCGAGAGTTACTAATGCGGCGTACTGTTTCTTTTTACGAGCAAGCTGTAATCGACTCTCTAAATCTGCATGGGCGCACCGAATTGAGCCTTCACTGCAAAAACCAATTTGGTTTGGCTTTTATATGAACTTATTTGTCACCCAGGAGTTTATTCGGCCATTTAGGACCCTCTCTATGAGTTTCACTATGTTCGAAGTTAACGAGATGGGTCTGATATTTTCTATGGTAAAACCTAATCCTTGCTTTATTATTAATGGAATTACTTTAGCTATTTTCCAGTCGTACGGTATTCAGACAGTCTTTAAAGAGTCGTTTACAAGATTGAGGACGTCGCCGGGGGATAGCTTGAATAAAATTTTATTCATAGGAACTGTGATTCCATCTGGACCAGGAGCTGACGAGGGTAGACTCGAAATACTTTTGATGCTTCAGACAGCGTTACGTTTTCGAAGTCAGTGCTTATGCTAGACTTTTGCCAGTTGAAAGCCATAGTCCAAGAAAATCGAATTTCTAGACCTCTGCCAATTGACTCTAAAAAGTTTCGGTGCGCTCTTATTCTTCGTCTTCATCTTCACTATGCCTCACGATCTCAAAAACTGGCGTTAGTGAAGTGACAAAAAATACCTGAAGTTATTAACAATTCGCGTTGATTCACTTTTTTCGCTAATACAGTACTTTTCTTGGTAGAGCCTGAAAGTGACACTTTGCCTTTATCTCAGCAGCACTTCTTCAAAAATTTATTCACCGTACTATTCGTGACTTGAAAAAACTGCTCAATTTAGTCATAATTTCAATAAATAGGCAATGAACAGTTGACTTCGTTGCTTGAAACGTATAGTAAAAAGATGCCACCGTGATTTGTTCTATACTTCCTTCAATATGACAGGAACTTGGAATAACGTAGTCACAAAATTAAGCTTCTAATATACTCAAGCTTTAGATGTTTTTAAGTAAACGAAAACGTTCAGTGCTTCTCAGTCCTGAGTTCATAGCTAAAAAGTTTGCCTTGATCATATTCATGCAGAATCCTTTGTCTAGGTATATTATGCACGCAAATAGGACGGCAATGTTAGTGGCTGCCAAGAACACGTTTTTTTTTCAGTGGCGGTCTGTGGCTGTAAATTCTTGGCATGCTCGGTCATTGTAACGAGCTGTATAGAGAGACAAAGCTCTAGACGAGACGCTCGTGTTTCTGTACGGAAACCTGCGATGACTCAATCGTCATCGGGCAGTAACGAGGCCGTTTATGCAATCACACAAAAAATGTATTTAAAAAAGACATGAAAGGTGTAAAATAAATAAAGGAAAAAAATATAACATGCTGGGAATGCTGGTGTGAGAGTCACAAGGGAATAAAACAGAAAGAGTTCACTGGAGAGGAAGGCGGTGGTCAAGTCCCGGCGGCAAACTCAACGCTGGGAAGGGATGGCCAACGCTAGGGTAGCCTGGTGAGTCCAATGACAGCCGCGGCCAAGAACGCGGCTCACTGCGGAGGTCGTTGACCTGGAGCACGCATGGCGTTTGCCATGCCTATCTCGAACGCTGGCTTGCGCTCGCTGCCGTATGTGCCGGTCTCGCCTGACGGAAACGTCCTGGCGACGTTTCGTCCACGCCAGGCCCGAACTGAAAGGACGGCTGGTATGGCCCCCGGTGGGAGCCCGCTGAGACCTCGAGTCCGCAACCCGACGGGTCACTGCTCCTACGCCCTGGTTCTTCAACCTTGCTTCTTCCTTCCAGCCACGTCTGCCTCACTCCTTCTTCTTCTTCGCACACCCCACTGCCCTGATTTTCCTGCGTCGTCTTCTTCGACTGTCTCTGCGGCGCGCACTTCAAACACAATTTTATGTTCACGATCACGCACGGCCACTTCACTCATCACACATGCCCCTCCTTCGGAAAAAGTTTTTTCTTTCTAAAAAAAAAACTTTCTAGCCACGTCTTAGTCGCAATCACCACGTGCCCGCGCAAGACCACTGCACCGCAGCAGTGAATAGAGGTGATATATGTCCACAATAAATGTTCACACAACCTCACACATAAAAAACAAGAAAAAAACATGTAGTCAGCCATGGCACGATGACTGCTTTCCTTCTGGTGAATAAACCACGTGGTTCAGAAATATACAATGTAGACAAACTGTAAACCAGTTGCAATACACTTCCGTGAAAGCTTAGGTTACAGCCTACTCATGAAATCGGCACCTGAATTATCTGAGCCTCTAATATGCTGAATAACAAAAGAATACTCTTGTAGTGCCAGACTCCATCTCAGTAGTCTGCCGTTCAGGTGTTTGGCCTTAGCTAGATATTGTAATGGTTGGTGATCAGTTTGCACAACAAACTGCGTTCCGTACACAAAGATGTGAAACTTTTCTATTGCCCACACTAGTGCCAGACATTCTCGTTCTATGGTGGAGTAATTCTGTTCTCGCGGCAATAGCTGTCGG